TGCATGTTTTTCTTGTCCCACGGTTTTAACGACCAGCTTGTTGCTTCAGTTGTCCACCCCTCCCTCCCTCCCTGACAGACCGTGCTAAAGCCAGTAGCACCGGATATGACAGTTCTTCACTGCACTTGGACTGAGTCTGAGGGTGAGGATGGTCCATCGACCTGCCTACTCCAGAGCAGTAGTTCCTTGATGTGTATTTCAAGCGATATTACCGAAGTTCCCCGTCAGAGGTGGAGGCGCCACGTACTGTGAAGCGATATTATGACTGGGAAAGAAACTTGATTTTAGACCATCCCTGTTATATATGTCAATCAGATACGTAAAAAAAGGGGAAAGTTTGTACTGACACAACCCTGCTACAGCTGGCTGACTTTTAGCAATAGAGCCTCAGAACACGGGGAAAAAAAATTAGATGTTATGAAATTCCTTGTGTGCAGTCGTCAGCGGAATTCATTTTTGTGACAGCGAAGTTTATTTTTAGTCTTTAAGTTTCCGGTACTGGGCAATTACTACCAGTTACATAAAATGTGAAGACCAAGTTTTCCGTCCATTCCCTTAGCAAAACATTGCAACGTCTTGGAAGATCAGGACAAGAGGTCAGACATGACCTTGCACAACCTGTAAGAGAAGTCTTTAAGACCGTTAGCTGCGTGCTTCATGAGGGCACAGATACAGTGTGCAGTGTCCGTAAGAGTCTCTTGTGGCATTCTTTTGTGATGGCTGGATATTTGTATCTGTACACTGGATCGGGGCCATCCTTGTACATATATTACACTCTACGTCAGGGGTTCTCACCCCTTTTTCGCTGGCGTACAACTAATTCTAATTTAACACATTAAATGTACCACTAACCAAATTCTTTTAAGGAAAACTTATTTATATTAATATTATCTTTTGATTCTCTTGTTTAATTCGCGTACCACCAGTGGTACACTTACCATAGGTTAAGAAACGTCGCTCTATGTGCTGTACTCCATGGTGTTATCGGGGTCGGTAGGACCATCAGTCTTTCTTTAGCTACGATCTGAAAAAATGAAAAACATAAAAGACTGAAAACAATATTTATACGTACGTACCACGCTGTCCGTACTCTGGGGATTACCGGTGTCTACCCTTCTTCAGGCAAGGTTGGTTCTGCGTGCTGTTTCAAGATCTAATCGCTTCATAAATGTACAATCCAGCAACAATTATTTATTTCCGGTCATAACACGAGGAGTGGATAAAAGGCATTTCTCCTACCAGAAGATCACGTGACACTGTTTAACATTCACCTGCGTTTCCTTTGTGTAGAAAACGTTTTATAAATTTAAAATTGTAAAACCTAGTTCTAAGCAGACGCCATAGTTTCAAGGTCTCTACATGAAAATCAAACTTTTGTTAGTGAAATTATTGAAGTGATTAAAGTGAGATGGGTGAGACATGTAGCAGAGATAGGAGGACAAACTTAGAGAATATTAGACTGAGAATCTCAAGGAAAGTGGCCACTTGCCAAACCTAAACACAGACGACGAAATGGTACTGAAGTGGCCCTATTATTTAAGGCTTTGACCGGGATGTTCTTTTGTTAAATCTTATGTGGTACCGCCTGATTCGACTTCTAATGGTTAAGTGAAGTGTTTTCTTCGCGGTACGGTCTGGATTCGTAAATATTATGAAGACGAGATTCGGCTTCAAAGGGTTAACCAGCTGATTTTCGTAATGGTGAGGTGTAGTGTTTTCTTCGCGGTACGGACGGAATTCATAAATAATATTCAGACGATCTTCGGCTTCAAAGGGTTAAAAAACCGTGGTCTATTTAAAACTCGTAGCGCTCAGGAAGGCGAGTATTAATATTATCGCTGTTTACAGCGACGATCATACGAAAAAGACGATACACAGAAAATGTTTTATAACTCCTATTTTATTTTCATATACGAACTAAGAATGATTTTGTAACAACGCCCCATTTAACTAGGATAAATTTCAGACCACGAACCAGATGAGTGGTTCATCGGATGAAGATTTTCCTTCTCCAAAACAAATATTAATTCTCTCTGACCGCTCAGCTTCGATGAGGACTGTGTTCTTCTGTGCTTTTTATATTGGAAGGGGGAGGGGCTTAATAGTTTATTAAGCAAATTATAACGAACCGGGTAACCGAGGTTTGTACTCCAGCAGGAGTATTAGGAGGAGATTAGATTCGGGGAGTGCCACGCAGTTCAGAATGCGAGCCTTTCCGACTTCGGTAAGAATAAATAAATAAATAAAAATAGAAATTAAACCACCTGACTGTATAATTTTGTTTTGGTCCCACATATTAAGGAAAGCACTTAGATTGCGGGTTCCCGGGAGAATATTTGAACCAAAGTTCGATGAAATAACAGGAGGTTGCAGAATTTATTGATTATCTGAGCGACCGTCAGCTTCTCATTAAGGTATCTGTTGCGTGGAGTTAGATGGGTCTGTGTAACGCTTTAAACTTGGAACGATGTGTTTTCTGTTCCGCAGATAAAACGATATTTTATCGCACAGTAAATGGGACACTGAGCCAATCTGTGATCGTCATCAACGTTAGTCGGTTTAAATCTAGTGTCGCTTCTCAGGGCGTTACGTCATCTTGGTGATTCCAGCGCTTCTGTAATATCCAACGACTGATATTAATTTTGTGATTGAACGTTCTGAAAGAAATGCTTAGCTAATTTCCCAAAAAGGAAACCCCTGTTACCTTTGTTCCACCTCATCGTGACGTCACAGCATAACGGGCATAAATTCTATTGCGATGTATTCGGCACTTAGTGGGTTTATTGACGTTAAGACTTAGAATTCCAAGCTATTCCACCTCAGACTCTTTCAAACTGAAATATTAAATAAATACAGTTGATTCTCGCGGACCTACAGCAATGTGTGTTATTTTATCATGTGATCAGGTCTTACATTTTCGTCATTATATCGTCTAACACTGCGCCCAGACGTAGCGGCAACTTCTCCTGCATTGCAGTGAAGCTGGCAAGTCGAAATGATTCTCTGCGGGCACCTCGTCTTGAACTGCCAGTGTAATTTCTTATTTCTGTCGTGAGGCTTACGAGAACAGCAGCGGGTGTTTGTACGGTTGTGGATTATGAATTGTGGAGTAATATACACGGATTTTAAAATTAGTTTTCAGTATTCGCTGGAAGGGAAGTTTTATTCCTGATTTTCATTACGTAAGATCATTAACAATATTTCGCGCACAATGTTGAATTTAAAGCTAATAATTGGCTTGGAAAACTTGAATTAATTTTTGTTTATAGGTTAACCTTGTGTCAAGCTGATAGTCTCTTGCGTGGTTAAGAAATCCCTTTGTTTATGGCACCGTGTTCCTAAGGGCCCGCCGAATGACCCTACGCAGAGTCACAAGAGCGCAGTCCATATACTCGCATTGTATTTTTCCATTTTAATATTCTCCTCAATCTATGCATAAGTTTTTATATTCTTCAAGTTTTTCTGATTGTATGTCCCACGCATTTCATTTTACTTGAGTTGATCACCGTTACTGGCTAAGAGTACAAAAGTTTCCCGTTATGCACTTTTCTCTTTCCTCCTGCCTACTTCCTGTCTCTTTCGCCAAACTATTGTCTCCCGCATTATGTTCTCAGACTCCGACCGGTTGAATATACGGACATGGGAAAGAATGGATTCAATTTTCATTCCATTGGTATGGAGAGCACAGAAGTTAAATAATTTTGAAACGATAGCAAATTTGCTTTGACTGCAAAATTCTTTCCCTGCAGAGCCAAACAATTGAAATCGAGGCGACAAACCGTGTACATGGACACAGTGCGTAGATCAGATTTCACGCTAGTCTACCTGTCTCACTCGAGTGCACGATAAGTTGCCGATGTAGCACGGCGCTCTGTGAATAGGGTATTAACAAGCTGACGCAATACGAAACTTAATTTTCCTGAACATTGATTTTATCCTGATAAAAATAAGATACGATTGGTCGTGTGAATTATTTTATAAAACCTCCGTCTTCAAAAGTACACAAGCCCAATAGAGCGATTTTCTAAATCTGAATTTCAAGGGATATTCTGCAGAATTATTTCCTTACTTAATATTCCCATCGATGGATATAACCGGGTAGGATTTTATAATTTATGCGTTGATAAAAAGGGTTTATGATAATGAAATTACTAAACTAATACTTTGTTAAACATTTAATTTTTATAAACACATTCAGTTATACTTCTGCTCTAATGAACATGGTTTTCTGTGTTGTCTCAAACCATCACGAATTTCTTTATACTGGAAGGAGACTGCTGAATATTGACTCTTTTGTACAGATGTGAAAGGCTGCTATTACAACTTCCAGCATTACGATGAAGGGGATCGCATCATTACCAATGAACCTTGCCTTAATTGTACCTGCCACAATAGGATGCTTATGTGTTACCTACGAGTCTGTCCGTTCACGAAAGGCATTGGACAAGACTGCACTATTGAGAAGAAGTCCGACCAGTGCTGCCCTGTTATCACATGCCCTGAAGGTATTAAAACTTTTCTTCAGTTCTGCCTGTTAATTTTGAAAATAAAAAAACTTAAATAGTAACATAACACGCTGTTGCAATACGGTGTCTAAAAAAGAACGTCACGTGGTTTGCAGTTCCTGTACACCTGTTGACGAGCTCAACAGCAGCGACGACTTCACCGGCTCCTACCGGATCCACCACGGCCATCGGCCAACTCGATGATCACGGCTGCACCATCGACAGTACTTTCTACACAGATGGTGCACAGGTAAGGTATAAGTGGTTATGAGACGTTCGTATCAATGTTTGTCAGTTTAGAATAAACAATGAAAGTGCACTGATTTCTTAACAGGTACCAGGAAATCCTAGCAATCCATGTGAACTCTGTTACTGCATCCGAAACAAGACGGCATGTGTTATGCAAGAATGCACGTTGCAAGTAGAAGGTTGTCGGCCTGTTTATCAGCCAGGAGTATGTTGTCCAATCCGATATGACTGTGGTAAGTGTGGTAACTATGCCCCCTTCTCCAGGCAGGATTCTACGAGAGATAACCTTTTTATGAACTAATTTAATTTCATGAGATGATAAAGTTGCGTCATATTGTGATAAATATATATTTGTTTAAATCTTGTCAGTCAAATCACAATAAAATTCTTATTAAATATTAAAATATTACTAAAATTAACATTTAAATATTTAAATTGATGTTCGCTATCGAAATGTTCGATTTACATTAGAACATCACTTGATGTTAATTTTAGTAATATTTTAATATTTAATAAGAATTTTATTGTGATTTGACTGACAAGATTTAAACAAATATAATTTAATTTCATAAAAAGTTAAATTTGTTTCTATAGTTACGAAACCAAAATAAAAAAATGTGATCTTTTTCAAAAGAATCTTCAGATATGAAACCATTCAGCTGCAGGGATAAATTTTAGCATTATTATTGGCGCTAAATCAACTGAGCAGGTTGAATTTCCATTAGCAGGACAGACGTACAGGAACCAAAAAAATTGAAACAAAAATATATTTGCTACTCTAACACCATGTTTCATATTACTTGTATTTAACAAAATTATTTAGGTTTGTGTCTAAATCGTGTAATCATTTTTTCTGTAATTTTTCGAGAAAATCGGTATCTTATAAGATTCGTGATGAGTTTTTGAGCTTTCAGAACTTTTGTTCCCCATTATCAAATAACAGCTTTTTAATTTTCAGATTATCTGGATGGAACAGAGCTTCCAGAAGTTCCTGCGACAACTTTTCGACCAACACCCGGTCTCCTCCTAACCACAACCACGCCTGGACCGTTGGATTGTCTGTTTAATGAAGAGCTTTATGCAGATGGTGCCCGTATCGATATTTCGAAACCTTGTGAACACTGTTACTGTATGCGAGGAGACATCGTGTGCGCCGTTCAAGAGTGTGGTACTCCGTTAGAACGTGAAGGAAAGAACTGTACAGCTTTACCACCACAGCCTGGCCAGTGCTGTCCTGAGCAGTATCAGTGTGGTAAGTAATGTTACCACATCAGAAGTAATTCTCAAAAATACTTTGTTTTAAACAGTTTCCGTACTTTACCTTCCCACATTTACGATTATTTCAGCGGTATGTTATCAGATCTTCAATGGCCTCGACTGCCTCAGGTTAACTTCGGAGGACATGGATTCCTATTCGAAAGTTGTTCTCTCTGAGTCCCTCTATACCCTCCTTCAATTTGGCCCTCAAATTTTGAATCACCCTGTATATACAGGAAAATTTGAGACTTCTTCAAGAATTAGTAGGAATTGAAGAATACAGCAACTCACGTACTGTGAAATATTCGACAAAACACACGTAAAAACCAGTTTTGCGTCTTACTAACTGTCTAAAGCATCGCAGGTGTTGTGCATTCCATCGCCACATCACATACAGCACGTCTTAAAAACATTTGGTAAAAGGTATTCTGCATCCGAAAATGTTGAAATGTTCTGTTTTCAGAGGACGTCGTCATAAGATCATAAGATTTCATTTATTCTTGGTAACTGAATGCAATAGCCACGGTGGTCTAGCGGTTAGAACGCTGGCCTTGTAATCCTGGGGCCTCGGTTTCGATTCCCGGCGGTGCCCGAATTTATAACTTGTGTTGGGCAAGGCCGTGGTCTAGGCAACACGGAGTTTTCCTCCGTGGCATCCCAACAATTACCCCATTCACACACAGAAGAAGGCAATGGCAAACCACTTCGGGATCATCTGCCAAGAACGTATAGGAACAGGTCCCAGTCCGAGAAAAGAATGGAAGGATCCTGTTCATATGGACATGTCGTCAGACAGAACACTAAATAAATAAAATAATAACCTTGTCTGTGAATCGAGAAACCAGGATCCAACCGACTGACCTTTGGATCAGTTTACATTTATGAATTATATTATGCTGTATGAATGACCTGCATTGACATTACTTTCATAACAAATTTTATTTAAAATAAGTATAAATTTCTTTACTATAGTCTCTTTTTTTAAAAAACCGCCAACGTTCGGACATAATCGTTAAATATAATAAATCGATTTATATAAATCTCCAACACGAACAGCGAGCATAATAATGTGAGACAGTTAACCACTGCAGCTCCTATTTTACTAAATATTTTGTCAAGAACGGTGACTTTATTTAACCTTCCTGTGCCTTAAACGGACAGAGTCTTGATTCCATGAACGTAGATTACGTGGCGTGTCGGTGGAGTTATCAGCTGACTGGCAGCTAGATTGTTTTAACCGTGCTAGCTTGGAGAGAAACAGCGAGTGTCACTCCTTTGCTGCAATGAATATTCTTCGATGATCAGCTGTTTGATAAATGTTTCAGTGGTCGTGTTTGTCTTCAAGGACACGGTTGATGTGACATGTGACGCGACAACCCATAGTTACCTCTTAGAGCTTAGTGTTCTTGTCGCTGAGTACACAAATAGGGAAACAGTGGACAACTGTTGTAAAATGTCCATTCTTCATTTCCCACCTTATTCACTAATATCCTGTACAATAAACTTGTGTGTGCGTGTGATGTATGTCCATGTACAAAGCATGATTTTTTTTACACTAAAACAATTATTGTCCGTGTTTGAAAGTGTTCAGTGTTTGTTATAGCTTGCTTCTCTGTCTTTTCATTCACGCACATAAGATGGCAAATATCAGATGTATGAATCCACAATCTCACTGAAGATTACGCTTGGCATAAATAAAAATACAAACTGCATTGAATGTACAGGTAGCCCTCGATTTACGCCGGGGACGCGTTCCTGGACGAACCGGCGTAAACTGAACCGGCGTAAATTGAAACTCTTTTATAATGTAAATCAATGAGAAGTCAATAACACGCGTTCCCAGCACCCAAACATTGACGAGTAATATAATGGCGTTACATTTAAAGCTCTGAAATGACAAATAAAATTGAATTGAATTTAAAAAATATATTTTTGCACTTACAATCGGCAATTCGTTGGTCCCCGCGATTCTTTCGTGTGACTGTTGTGTACAGTCATCTCTGCTGTCATGCGATAGTTGAATTCATGTAAGACGCCGACCTATAGAAAATCGCGTAGTAAAAATAACCCCGGTACCTCCGCAGAGATTAAATTAGTCCTTTGAAAGTTTGAAGAGCCAGGAATGAAATTGCATAAGAGCAAACTAGCATATGCAAAAGTTTGCATTTCACAAACAGCTTTTATCGATTCATCGATCTCATTGGAGCAAATTCGCGTTAACGAAACTTACGTAATTGCAGAGATGACTGCATTTATAATTTTTATTCAAAATCAGCGATGTAAGAATTACGATTTAGTATAAGAATCAATACGAGAAACATTGTAAAACGTTATAAATAATAGTAAAATATATTTCTTTTTCACTTTTTGACTTGCTGGTTTCAAAATCGGCGTTATTCTGAACCGGCGCAAATTGAACCGGCGCAAATCGAGGGCTACCTGTATATTGTTACACAAATTAGTATTTATATAACAGACACAATCTTAAACTTCCACTCAAACTGCAAAGACAAGACGCAAACAAAATGTTGCTGCAGGGGACCTTGGTTTATAATTTTGCATTTACTAATCTGAAAGGGAAAAACTATTCGGAATTACATTATTGTCATATAAAAGGTGAAAATTGGTTCTTGGAAACCCTCGAAGCTCTGTCTCTATGTTCTGAGGCTGTTTACAAAGGCAAAATTGAGACGTGGTGTAGTATAGGCTTCAGGAGGTCTACAAATGTTCCAGTGATTAATAAGTGCTATTTAACAAATTTATTACTCATTAATATAAACCATATTTTCAAATTTCCTTTATTTAACCAGTGAGACGTCTGTTGTTTGCCATGATCTTTGTACATATATTCATTCGCTTATTTCGTTCTTCATTGCAATGGCTGTGTGTTTTTGTCCAACCTGTTGACACTTGTACATAGTGAAGTCTGTTTCTTTATCTAATATACTGTAATTAGTGTTACGAGAACATTTAATGCAACGCCTATGAAAATTGAAAGACCAAGTTTTCAGCAGAGCGAAGGAAACAAGTTGCTGTTAGAATTAACAGTGATTACGTTACAGTTTTCTGCGAGCGACATTGTTCGGACAAAATTTAAACTGCGAGAGAAAGTGGTAATACAGCTCCACTAAGAGAACCCGCCGCCAAAAGTTTTCTCTCTGCTCTAAATTAAAAAACACAAAATATGGACACCTTAGCGCTCCCTTGTTCAGTACTTTTGACTTATTACGAAAATTATAACAGAGTCACTATTACATTCTTAATCAGCCGACATATCAAGACTGCTCAGTGTTTCCTAAAGAGAAAAATTAGAATCACGCTGTTGTGGTAGTTGTTTGTTTCCTGGCTCTACGACCCCGTTGTGGGTTTTCGCAGCTTCCTCTTCGGAGGTTTCTTGGTGCTTTTGTGAGTAGCGAGTGACCAGGCCACTGTAGTATCACGAATATTATTTTATTTCTGCTGGTATCATCTATACCAAAGTCAGCGATTCCTTTCTCTTCCTGTAGATTTTATACTTGTAAAATAACAGAACCGCCACGGTGGTCTAGCGGTTAGACCGCCGGCCTTGTAATCCTGGGGTCTCGTGTTAGATTCCCGGCGGTGTCCGATTTATAACTTGTGTTGGGCAAGGCCGTGGTCTAGGCAACACGGAGTTTTCCTCCGTGGCATCCCAACAATTCCTCCATTCACACACAGAAGAAGGCAATGGCAAACCACTTCTGGATCATCTGCCAAGAACGTATATGAACAGGTCCCAGTCCGAGAAAAGGATGGAAGGATCCTGTTCATATGGACCTGTCGTCAGACAGAACACTAAATAAATAATAAAATAAAATAACAGAATGTACTGTATATTATCTTACTGTTGTCGTAACTTCTTCTCACAGGATTACTAAGAACATATCCGTGGAAGTTGAGGACATTATTGGGTTTGGGAGATGTCACGGAAGTTGTGTTAATAAGATGTATCTAACATTGAGACCTTTGCTGCCAAACAGATTGATTGACAATAGGTCCTCGGAGACTCACGATCACCTGGCACTTTATGATTTCAGATAACGAGATAAGACACGTGAACAACCTCTCCTTGAGGCAGAATCGCAAACATGAAAATGATGCCAATGGTAATGATTGTATTCGGAACAATTTCTTTACCATATTGAGCGCAAAAGATAAAATTACCACAAACTAAAGATGTTTTGGCGCCTTCACGTTGTAGTTGCAAGAATTCATTCCTTATCTGTTATTCGTCTGTCTGTCAACATGTAAGAACTCGAGAACCGAAGAATGGATTTTCATAAAAGTTTATATTGGGGGAATTTTACTAAAATATACATATGACACATTCCACCTTTGGTTAAAATGGGCAACATTAACGGATAATTTACGCAAAGTCACACGAGTGTTTGCGAAAATATTTTGAGCGTAACTCGCTAAAAGCTTTTTAGAATGAAAAGTATTTCAAAACGAACATTGCAGAGAAAAATGAAGAACATTTTATGCAAAGTACATTGTTTGCTGCAAGTTTTATGGTTTTTGAAACAGTTAACGGACTGACATTGATAGAATTCTGTTGGAGTGTGTAAGAACTAAAGCTTTCATGGCACTGAATATAACGAAGTCTTCTCAGTCAATCAGCTATGTGAGAACCGTGTTGTAAGCCAATGTTTCGTTGATGTAATGAATACTGATATTAGAGGCATTGCTCATGTGCCTGCCTGATTTATGTTATTCGTAAGGGACCATCAAATGTTAGCATTAATGAATATTTAGATGCAATAGCAAGGTGAATGCGCCAGAATTATTTTGCTGTGTGTGCATTTTCTAGCTTGTTTTTCTGCAGGGGAGAATTTATTCATAAAACTAGCATTGTCTTCTGTGCTTATAAGTTTTAAAGGATTTTTATGCTTGATTTATACATAAAAGTGGCTTAATACAAGCTTGTATATGCTTCTTTTAATATGCTTTGGTTATCGAGAGATAAATATTCAAGTAAACATAATGATTTCCTTCGCTGGCTGTCAGAAATATCAAAATTCTCTTCTTAAATTCACAAAATATTAATCTAGTCATGCATTGCACCGTAGAAACCAGAAAGACGTGCTTGGGCGCAGAATGCCTTTTTCCTTATTTCAGTTTAGTAGGCATGCTGTGAGAGCCAAACTGAAACATATGAACATACTTTTCTCTCTCCTTCAAATCAAATTAACAATTTGGGAAGTGACGGATGCTTATGCGTATGGCTACTACACTCTTGTAACAGAACCAGTAACATTGTGTATGTGTAAATTTTTATCCATATTTTTGTTTATTGTTGGTAGTTGGTGTTATTGTGGTACCTGTTCTTGAAATGCTTGGATTTCCCTTTGTTATATAGTTCAATTAACCAATTTCAGCAATAGGTAAGTATGTGTGAGGTTATGTAAGGGTCCACAAGTAAATATTTAAGTAAATTAATATATCTGCTTAATAACAACAATTAAAACGACAAAAATAACAGTTTCTTTAAATTGGAGTGGCATTTCTTTTAGTTTTTATAAAGTTAGTTACAGTTTACAATCAAACCAAGACCTGTAGAAGTTATATCCACTGCAATATTTGTTGTGCAGAATGCTCCATATTAATAAAAACAGCTACTGTGTTGAGCTAATGGTTTATAGGTGCAGTACAGTGGTAAAGGTTAACAACACAGAAATAATAATATAGTTACTACTGACTTACCATTTCCTCTTTTTTATATACTTGTATGCCTTGTTCCCAGCCTCCTATTCAATGGGTACCAGGGTTTTTCTTCCGGGGGTCCGAGGTTAAGAATGAGTTGGAGCTATTCCTCCTCTCCCCCCAAGTACCTGCTTGGTGTATAGTGGGACAGCTTTACTTTTTATCTTGTGTTATATGCGGGTCTATTAGGCAACATAAACAGTTTTTATTTGTAACCCCTAGCAGAAGAGTACTGTGTCATCATTATAATAATTATTTTTCTAATTATCAGAGCGCCATGGTTCTTATCTTGCCAATTTGTTCAACTGTTCCTTGATATGATGCTGATAAGTTTACTGTAAACAATTTTGCATGAATGAGACGTAAGGTTTCTACTGTGGCAAGTATGAAAACGACCGTCTTCTGGAATGTTGAACAACGTAGTCTAATAGAAGTTTAATTATATTTTAGAAGTTATTGCTGCGTGCATCATCAGAAAATTGTTATTGTATCATAATGTTTGTGATAATTAACACGGGCATGCTACCTTTAATACAGAATTTGAATTATCAGTTTCATTCTTGCTTTTGATTTTAAATGCTTTGGAAATCTGTCATGTTTCCATTTGCATTATTTATTTATTCAAGTGCCTTTATGTGAAAGTATGTGAACATTAGTGGAAATACTTATTCTTGTTTGCAGATAATGGAACATTTCCATTTGAAAGCCTTTCCCATGAGAAGGAGGTGACAGCAACATATGCCGATGTGGGTTTACCTGGAAAAGGAAGCACTTCTGCCGGCAGTGTGCATGGTGGCATAGAGCATGAGAAAACTACATCCAGTGGAGAACCAGTAACAGAGAAGGAAGAACATGAACAAACCCAAGTACCACAAACAGCTAATGGCGACCAATTGCCTTCATCAGAAAAGAATGAACAACTGATTCCAGATATTCATGACGAAACTGTAACTCAGACAGCTGATGATGACCAAGATATAAAAGGAGTTATACAACAAGAAACAGTAACTGACATGATACCAGATATAAAAGATGAAGAGAAGCCCACACCAAGCCAAGGAGAAATTCAGACCATAGATCACTCGGTGACCAGTGCTGAAGGAATAACAGGAGTTGAACAAGTAGTTACAAGTTCAGAGACTGCGAAAGGAGAACAAGAAACAGCCAGTGGTTTTGGAACTGATAAAGGAGAAGAAACACCTGAAAGTGTTGAAAAAGTAAAGGATGACGGAAAACCAGATACTGATGCAGGAGGAGTGATGGGGCTGTCTGATAGTGACATGGAACAAGAAAAAGTAACTGAAGAGGGAGGTGTACAACAGGCATCAGTAACAGAAAGATTAAGTGATATAGAACAGTCTGTAACTGATAATACAGAAAAAGAAAATATACCTGAGGGAGAGAAGGAGGAAGAACCAATCAATATTAATGGATTGGAACATGAAGTAGTAACTGAAGGGAAACAGGGTGCAGAACCACCAGTGACAAGCAAGGTAAATCATGAATATGTAACAGAAGCTGCAAAAGGTGATGAAGTAACAGTGACAGAGGGCATCACAAGTGAGGTGCAACCTGTAGAACACGAAGTAGTAACTGAAGGAGTGACCAGTGAACATAAACCCATAACAGGAATATCTGTGGAACAGGAGGTGGGAACTGAAAGACCAAAAGTGCAGGAACCACATCTGGAAAATGTACCAGTCACAGAGGGAGTAAAGGGAGAGAAACCGTCTGTAGAACAGGAATCGGTAACTGACGGAGAGACGGGAGAAGAACACTCTGGAGAACAGGAACTTGTAACAGAGAGAATAGGAGAAGGCTACTTTCCAGATAATGAACCTGTAACTGACAAAGTGAAGGATGAAGAACCATCTGTTGAACATGAATCAGTAACTGAAATAGTTAAGGGTGATGAACTACCTGTGCAACAAGAACAAGTAACAGAGATAGCAGAAGATGAAGTGCCATCTGTGGAACAGAAACCAGTAACTGAGGTAGTGAAGGGTGAAATACCATCTTTGGAACAGGAACCTGTAACTGAGACAGTGAAGGGTGAACAACCATCTTTGGAACAGGAAATTGTAACTGAGACAGTGAAGGGTGAACAGCCATCTTTGGAACAAGAACCTGTAACTGAGACAGTGAAGGGTGAACAGCCATCTTTGGAACAGGAACCAGTTACTGAGACAGTGAAGGGTGAACAACCATCTTTGGAACAGGAA